CCGCCCCCCTGGGGAAGGGGGTGGGGATGTTAGCAGCTCAGGGCAGAAGTTCAAACCCCAGGTCCTTCCTGTTCAGTCAGTCTGCTTCCCAGCCTCGTTAAAATGGTTTTGGGGAGTGGGAGGGGGACACAAGAAGAGTGGGGACAGAGGAAGGAGGAAGGGAGGCACTGGTGGAACTTAAATAAGATTTTAAATCATATTTTAGAAAAATTCTAGCAAGCAGCCCAATGACATGTCACAAAAAACTGTCCTTCCCAGGCAGGAGGGCCCCACAGAGAAGGCCAGCTCTTCATTCATTTGCCCTTGGTGCCCAGTGCCAGAGGCAGGGTGGGGCTGGGGGACTGGAGTTAAGTTTGGACCCCTCTTTCCTCACCCGGTGCCTGGACACACCAGTAAGACCTGGTCTGCCCGGAGCTGAGAAACTCATTTAAAACTGGCAGAGTGGGCTGGGGTGGAGTTGGACCTGTGGGGGAGGGGCAAGAAGGCAAAGGGAGTGGGGGAGCAGCTGGTGTTTCCATTCCTCCAAATATCTGGGCTTCCTGTTCCCCCTTCCCTGGTGGGTGGGGTGGGGGGTGAAAGTAGATGCAAGGAACTCTGGGGCCCTCTGGCTGTTCAATCCAACCCTCCCACCCCCCACAAAAGAAAAAAAAAAAAGAAAAGAAAGACAAGAAAACCCATGGGGGCACAGGCACACCCCTAAAACTCAGCAAACTCCTTGCCACACTTCTCATTGATGGAAACCCGGATCTCTTCCTCCTCATAGTCGTCAAAGTTACTCGTGTCCCCAGGGCCTTTAAACTTTGGTATGAAGGGAGCTTCCACCTGGAGAGGGATCAGAACCACCCAGACCTCAGCAGCCATCACTGTCATCATTACAACAATAAATGCGAACGGCCTAACATTCATGAGATATTTACTTTGACTCAGGTCTGTTCTTAGCTTTATGGTATGAATTCTTCTTAGCAACCCAAGTCTAGAATTATGGCCAACTCACCAAAGGGGAAATTACTTCCCAGAGCAGCATCTCTTGCCCAAGGCCACAGGGTGGCCAAATAACCCCAGGACCCCAGAATTGTATCTCTAGTCTTCCCTGGCTCAAAGCTGCCTAGTGTATACTGATGCTGAACCTGGGGACGATTTTCAAGACCCCCTTCCTTTTCTGTCTCTCCACTGCAGTCATCCCTGGCTCTTGGCTTCCTCCAGAACCCTTGGCATGCCCGGGAGGGGCTCACCTTTCTCTGGTAGATGGCGATCCAGTCAGTCGTGGCAAACCACTTGTGGTTCTTGATGTCGTTGACCCCATTCTTGAGGTTCCCGAAGCGCTTGGTGAGATCCACCTGCAGAAGGTTCCGAAGCAGGTCCTTCAAGTCAGAGCTGAAGTGGGACGGGAACCGTACCTGGAGGGGGGACAGACAGAATGGGGTGTTGAGGTGGAGCCTGAGAGGTCCGGAAAGCTGCTTTCTCCATTCAGCAGTCATGGTAGGCAGAGGCCCCCAAACTTGAGTGCCTGCTGGAATCTGGTGAAAACAGCTCTGGGTCCACTCTGGGGTTTCTGACTTAGATCTGGGTGAAGCTGAGAATCTGCATCGCTAACAAATTCCCTGGCCATGCTGGTGCTGCTGGAGCGGGGACCTCTTCCAGAACCTCTGCTCTTAGGCTAGGGCCATGAGGGTTTCCATTTCAGAGAAGAGGAAACTGAGACTTGGAAGGGTTAAATAGTGACCCCAAGGTCACAGGGAGCAGTGGGAAGGGTGATTCATTACAGGCCCATTGGGGTTATATGCTTAGCTGCTGCTTCTGAGCCGTCTCTGTGGGGCTCTTGGGACTTCTGGAAAACTCATGCTTATGAGCAAAACACAGCTACAACTTTTCTGTTTTTTAAGGCTCAGATCAATTCTTCTGGAAGCATTCCCCCCAATTCTCTGAACCCCACAGCCTTGTATGCAGTCACTGCTTTTACAGCCATAGAACTGACTTCTATTAGCTCCACCTAGGGCTGGAGATACAGCTCAGTGGTAGAATGCTTGTCTAGCATATGTGAGGTAAGGCCTGGGTTCAATTTCCAGTACTGGGCAACAAAACCAAACCAAACCTGACTTCTAGTCCCTGCTCTGCCTCTCTCATGCTGTGTGACCTTGGCCATGACCCTTAACCTCTCTGGGCCAACGCCTGCCTCTCTGATATGGGGCACACATCCCAGGATTATGTGGAGGAGATAACACCACTGAGGGTGCGTGGGAACTGCAAACCATTACAAAGAAGGGAATTATGCTCATTTCCCCCTCGTCCCCCCTTGGAATCTCTTTGGACTTTTCTTTTTTCCACTCTGGGCCACCATCTTAGCACTTGCTGTTCTGCCTGGTCCTGTCCTTCCCTCTGAGAGATGCTGAATATGCTGCTGGCCCAGAGGAGCCCGGGCTGCGGCCGGGACTCCTTCCAACCTCCAGGAGAGGGAGATGGTGGGTTCCCCAGTCCACAGAGAGGTAAGATGAGGCTCAGAGGGGCAGACTGACTGCTCAAAGCCTCAGAGCCCATAGGTGGCAGGCCACCAGGCCACCACCGCCAGGCCAAACAGCGCGGGAACTCCGAGGCAGCCAGGAGCTCTCTGGTGGGAGACGCTGGGCCAGGCCAGAGGTGGCCAGGCCAGAGGTGGCCAGGGGTGAGCGGAGGGCAGCAGTCAGGTGGAGTCCCTAAACCCTCAGTCCCTCAGCACCCACCACCTTGCCCCCGTCACTCCGGGAGGTGTGATCTCAGGCCACACGTACCCTCCTCCTGAGCCTCAGTTTCTGCATCTCTCCCACGGGGACGACGGGTGCTTCACCTGCTCTGTCGACCTGAGTCAGACAGCTCCAGCATCTCTTACCTGAGCCTCGGGTCACAAGGACTTGGGAAGGAGCTCAGGGGCTCTCTGCCTACGTCATAGGATGGGGCACCCTGGAGGGGTCACGGGCACTCCCTGGGAACCAAACACAGTTGCTCTTCTGCTTTGAAACTTGTGAAAATTCACACTGAGGGACACAACTAGAGGCAGGAAGAGCCTGTGTCCGGGTGGCACGCTCTCTGTGGCTGGAGGACGTGGGGCTCAGGGTTCTGGAAGCCCTTGGGGATCTGCTGTGGTGAGCAGGACAGTCAGGCTGCTCCAGGTGCTGGCCTCCGTGTGGCCGGGGTACCAGCTTCACCCGCTGGCCTGACTCGGTGAGCTTCTAGCTTACTCTGACAACAAGCAGGGACCAGCACGCGGGTCGGGGGGCCTTCCTGTTTCTTGCGAGGTTAAGCCCCCATGCCTGGCCTCACCTTCCCAGAGACGATTTTCTCGTAGATCTGGATGGGCTGGTCAGCGAAGAAGGGCGGGTAGCCAGCGGCCATCTCATAGATGAGAACCCCGAGGGCCCACCAGTCCACAGCCTTATTGTAACCCTGGAGCAAGAGGGAGGGGGCGGGGGTGAGGGGAGAGGGCGGGGACGGGGTGAGGGCTGAGTGGGTCTGGGGGAGGGGGAGGGAGCGCCTACTTTGCTCAGGATAATCTCGGGGGCCAGGTACTCGGGGGTCCCACACAAGGTCCAGGTGCGGCCCTTCACGCGTTTGGCAAAACCGAAGTCTGTCACCTGTGGGCACAAGAACGAGCGGTTGGCTGGGAGGGAGGGTCCAAGTCATGGCCCCCTGAGGCTGCCCCTGGCCCAGCCTGGTGGTCACCTGAATGTAGCCCTGCTGGTCAATGAGGAGGTTCTCCGGCTTCAGGTCCCGGTAGATGAGGTCCAGAGAGTGTAAGTACTCGAACGTCAGGACGATCTGCGCCGCGTAGAATCGGGCATGGGGCTCACTGAGGGGACAAGAGGAAGGAGAGGGGAGGGTGAGCATGATGGCCACGCCCCTACATTGTCCAGCATTGGGTCTGCAGAGCCACCTGCAGAGGAGGACACCCCCAGTTCAGCTATCCAATTGCACATGCAAGGCCAGCACAGAGCAGCGCTGGGTCCAACCTACGTGGGAGGCTGAGGCGCAAAGATCCCTGGAGCCCAGGAACTTGGGGCGAGCCTGGGCAATATGGAGGGAGACCACAGCTCACCTGAAAAGGGCCGGGGTGCAGCTCAGTGGTGGAGGGCTTGCCTAGCAAGTGAGAGGCCATTTCCAGACACACACACACACACACACACACACACACACACACACACGAGCAACAGGAGAAGGAACCACAGAATCCCACGGGATCACACACTGGGATGGAATCCTATGGAAGAGTGCGCCCACCCGACCCATCAGGACCAGCCGGGAATGACCTCCACAGCTTGGCTGGTTACAAATGTAACTAACGCAGAAGACAGGGACACACAGAACCCAAACTGCAGGGTGCATGCCCAGAGGGTCCAGACCCAGACAAGACTAATTCATGGGGACTCGAAACCAGAAAGGACAACTGTCTGTCACGGGAGGTGATTTATCAAGAAAGGGATATGAGTGCTGGGTGTGGGGGCACCTGCCTGTAATCCCAGTGGCTTGGGAGGCTGAGGCAGGAGGATCGAGAGTTCAAAGCCAGCCTCAGCAATTTAGTGAGACCCTAAGCAACTTAGCATGACCCTGTCTCAAAAAAAAAAAAAATTTAAGAAAGGACTGGGGATGTGGCTCAGTGGTTAAGTGACACTGGGTTCAATCCCTGGTACAAAAAAAAAAAAAAGGATATAAGAGCTAGAGGTGTGACTCAGTGGTGGACAGTTTCCAAGGCCCTGGGTTCCACCCCCAGTTTTCAGGGGTAACCAAAGTATTTGATAGTGTTTTAGGTGGAGATTACCAAAATGTATATAATTGTCAAAACTTATGGAATGGAACACTAACAACCTATATGCACATTATTGTATGTGAAATTATCTATATTTATTCATCAAATAAAATAATAGTATAAATCTTAAGAATCCATGAAATTGCCAACATTTTTTTTTTTTCTTGCTGGGCTTGGTGGCCCATGCCTGTGGTCCCAGTTACTTGAAAGACTGAGGCAGGAGGATCATTTGTACCCAGGTGTTTCAGACTAGTCAGGGCAACAGAGAGAGGCCCTGTCTCAAAATCATAACCAAAAAACTGTTTTTTTGGTGCTGGGGGCTTCACACAGGGAAGCCTGTGCCCTCACCCCTGGGCTGCCCTTGCCCCTGGGCTGCACCCGGCCGGCCTACATTTTGACCCCTAGTTGCCATAACCACTTGCTCGTCTTGCTCTGTGGGAGCCGAAACATCACAGATTCCTCAGCACATTGGAAACAAATCCCCATGGGCGCCAGACACCCCTTCCATGTCCCAGCATGCAGGAGTCCTCCGTGTCCCCAGATGGTTTGGTGGACGGGGCTGTGGGAGCAGCTGCTCACCTGAACCTCCCGATCCGCCGTAGGTGGGAGAACATCTCCCCTCCAGGCACGTACTCCATGACCATGTACAAGTTTGAATTGTCCTGCGGGAGGCAGAGCAGATCAAGACCCCATTTCCAGAGCCCTGGGCCCCTCTAACGCCTCAGTGGCCTTATAGGACAGGTGTTAAAGACATAAAAGGACAACTCGGGCTCCCGGGGAAGAACATTCCAATCCCAGGTGCCCTCTCTGCTGAACCACGCCTTGCCACTCATCCTGCCGGTGAGGAAGAATGGACGGCCATTACTCGCCTTACAGAGGGTGGACATGCGGCCAGCTCATGGGTGTAAGGGACCTGGGCAGTGTGCCCCCGCTTGAGGGAGAGGACTTAACTGGGAGCTTGAGTAACTTCCAGGGCTACGGTTTTGTCATCTGTAAAGTTGGACTAAACCAGGCGCAGAAATGCCTGCCTGTCATCCCAGCTACTTAGGAGGCTGAGGCAGGAGGACGGCAAGTTTGAGAACAGTCTTAGCAACTAAATGAGACTGTCTCCAAAAAAAAAGGGGCTGGGGCTGTAGCTCAGTGGCAGAGCGCCCCTGGGTTCATCCCCCACTACTGGGGAAAACAGACAAAGGACAGGCTACAGAATTTCCTCCCAATGAAAATGAGCTGAGCACAGTGGTGTGCACCTGCCGTCCCAGCCCCTAAGGAGGCCAAGACAGGAGGATCACCTAAGTTTGAGGCCAGGCTGGTCAACATAGCAAGGAACCATCTCTTAAAAAACAAAAAGTGATAATCCTTGTTTAAAAAATATTATTGCAAATTTCAAGAGGACAGCAACACAGGGTCACCCAGGCCCCTCCGAGCGTGGACTGTGTTATATGGCAAGCTCTTGTCACTGCTGGCTTGTGGTTCGGGACCACGAAGATGGTGCTGAGTGCCCCTTCCAGAGTCCCGCAGCCACAGCTTCTGATGGCTCCCAGAGTAACGCACCAAGGGCCTCATTCTGGGCTCAAAACTGCCATGACAACCCCAGCGGGTGGGGACTGTTGCAGTTCCTATTTTTTAGCTGAGAAAAATGAGGCTCAGGGGCATGAGGTCCCTTGTGTGGGTCACGGTTGAGGAAGGACAGGGCTGGGAGTTGGTCCCGGGCGGCCGAGGGTAGGTCTGTGCTCCTGACTGTGCACTGGGTGGTGACTGGAGGGACGGCACCGGGTGGGTGACTTGCCCAAGGTCACTGAACTATAGTCGGCGAGCCCAGGAGCTGAGCTTGGGCCTACCAGAGACCTGGCCTGGTCCTGTCCCCGTGTCTGTCCCTCCTCCAGAAATCCATCTTCCCCAGAAGTGGGCAGCCGTTAGATGTCCTGCTCCCTTGCCCTGGGGGCTGTACTCAGTGGCTGGGACCAGTACAAGAACCTGGCTGGGGGCCCACCTTGAAGGAGAACTCGAGTTTGACCAGGAACGGGAAGGTGACTGCTTGCAAGATGCGCTTCTCATTCAGGGTGTGTTCGATCTGTTTCAGCTTCACCACCTGCGGGCAGAAGAGGTGGGTGGAGGAGCCATGAGAGGGGCCTGGTTGCCGGGCACGATGGCGCACACCTGTCGTCCCAGAGGCTCTGGAGGCTGAGCAGGAGGATCACAAGTTCAAAGCCAGCCTCAGCAACTTAGCGAGGCCCTAAGCAACTCAGTGAGCCCCTGTCTCTAAATAAAATACATAATAGGGCTGGGGAGGTGGCTCAGTGGTCGAGTGCCTCTGAGTTCAATCCCTGGTACCAAAAACAAACAGAGAGAAAGGAGCCTCGTGCCCAGGCACCTGTGCCTGGGACTAGGGAAGCCAGAGCTGGGCTGCTTCCTTCAGCCAGGACCACTGGAGTGCCCGTGGCCTGCTAGGCCCCAGGCTGGGTACTGAGGACACAGCGAGGAGGAGGCCAGAGGCTGCACACAGACCAGAGCAAAGAACACAGGAGTCACAGCCCCATGGCCTAGAGGGCTCCACTGTGTGTGGAAGCTTGGGCTGTGGATACCCAGATAAGGCCTCTGGTACAGTCTGAGGAGAGGGTGAATCAGAGAGGGCTTTCTGGAGGAAGGGGCAGCTTGGCTGGAACTGGAAAGACAGGCAGGCATGGCTGCAGGGGTGGGGAGTTTAGAAATGGCCCTCTCTAGGTTGAGAACGCCACTGCACATCAACCAGGACCTTGGGCCGATCCTCCTCGCCTTCAGCTGTTCCCTAACAGCACACACCATGAGCAGTCATGGGCAGCCGTCTCAAGAACAGTTTCTCTCTCCCTCTCTTTTTAATTTTTTTTTCTTTTTTTGTGGTGCTGGGGATGGACCCCAGGGTCTTGCACATGCTAGCCACACATCCAGCCCCACAGTTTCTTGTTAAATCATGACAGAAGCCCGGAGAAGGTCGTGCTGGGAGCAGGGCAGTTTGGAAGCCCAGACAGGGGAAGGGACTTGTTCAACGTCACAGTCGGTCACTGTTAGGCCAGTGTGACATTCAGGCAGCAGGGCTCCTGGGTGAGCTGGGAAGGGCTTTGCTGAGGTGTCCCCCTCTTTGCCCACACAGCCGCGTCCTCAGGGTCCACACCTGTGCTGTCCAGTGCAGCTGCCGCTGGCCACGGAGGGCTGATGAGCCCTCGAAATGTGGTCAGCTGACCAGGGAACCCAATTTAAAATTTTGAGTATCTAAAATGAAAACTTAAACACTGACACTCGGTGTAGGTACTGGATGATTTTCCCCTTTTGCAGCCCTGGGACAGAACCCAGGGCCTCATGCATGCGAGACAAGCCTGCGACCGCTGAGCTCCACTCCAGCCCCCGGGAGGACCTTTACGGATGTTCTGAACAACGTGGGCCTGAGAATCTCGTCTTTCCAGGGAAAACGGACCATCTGAATGAAGATCTGCTGTAAGTGTAAAATATACAGTGGATCTGAAGACACTTTACTGAGGGAAAGAAAATGTAAAGTGTCTCATTAATATTTTACATGGATAACATACGGAATGGGCTGGGGTTGTGGCTCAGTGGTAGAGCGCTCGCCCGGCATGCGTGAGGCACTGGGTTCGATCCTGAGCACCACATAAAAATAAAGATATTGTGTTCACCTATACTAAAAAATAAATATTAAAAAATATGGAAATGATAATACTGTAGATCTACTGGCTTAATTACAACATGTGGCCAAAATGAATCTGAGGGGCGAGGGGTGTGGCTCAGTAGAGCCCTAGACTGGGACACTGAGTTCCACTACTGAAAGGAAAACAAACCGCAGGGCCTAGTAGCCCGCGCCTGGAATCCCACAACCCTGGAGGCGAGGCAGAAGGATTGCAAGTTTGAGGCCAGCCTCAACAATTTAGCAAGGCCCTAAGCAACTCAGTGAGACCCTATCTCAAAATAAAAAATTGAAAGGGCTGGGAATGTGGCTCAGTGGTAAAGCTTCCCAGGGCTCAACACCCTTGTATCGCTCCCCCACCCCACATCACCTGTTCCTTTGTACTTTTTTTGATGGGCAACTAGAAAAGACAAGATCTCCTCTGTGCTTTTTATTACATTTCTGTTACATAGTGTGCTGTGTGACAGCAGTGCCTTACATCAAGTAGCATCTCAAAGATCTTATGGAAAGACACTTTCTTGCTGGGTGCAGGGGCGCACGCCTGTAATCTCAGCAGCTCGGGAGGCTGAGACAGGAGGATCTCGGGTTCATAGCCAGCCTCAACAATGGCACTACTAAGTGGTGAGGCACTAAACAAGTAAGTGAGGCCTTGTCTCTAAATAAAATGCCAAGTAGGGCTGGGGTGTGGCTCAGTGATCGAGTGTCCCTGGGTTCAATCCCTGATATCCAACAAAAACAAAACAAAACTACACCCTCCAGGAAGAGTGCTCTCCTCTACACAACCTGGTATATCCTTTGTCACTGGTGGCCAGTCTTGGGGGCTGGCCTGGTGAAAGCCGTGCAGAGCTCTCCTAGTCCTTAGGCCTCGCATGGCAAGGGGGCTCAGGGAGAACAGTCACCCCTGTGTCCACAGGGGGGTAGTTCCAGGATCCTCTACAGATACCAAAATCTGCAAATGTTCAAGTCCCTTGCATAAAATGGCACAGTATTTGCACAGAACTTTGGCACTTCTCCCCATAGACTTATTTTTCCATGATCCTGGGGATGGAACCCAGGGCCTGGAGCATGTTGGGCAAATGCTTTACTACTGAGCTCCACCCTCAACCTGCAGACTTTTAAATCATCTTTAGATTACTTACAATACCTAATAAAATGTCTAAGTGTCACTTCATTCATGGGGATTCAGGGTAGCACTTTGCATGGGGGAAGTTAAAAGTTCTGGGGCTGTGGAGATAGCTCAGTTGGTAGAGGGCTTGCCTCGCATGCACAAGGCTCTGGGTTCAATCCCCAGCAGGACACACAGACTCACAAAAGGGGTCGGGGTTGTGGCTCAGTGGTAGAGCGCTTGCCTAGCATGTGTGAGGCCCTGGGTTCAATCCCTGGCACCACATTAAAATAAAGATAAGGGCTATGGTTGTGGCTCAGCGGTGGAGCACGCACCTAGCACATGTGAAGCCCTGGGTTCGATCCTCAGCACCACATAAAAATAAATAAAATAAAGGTATTGTATCCAACTACAACTAAGAAATAAATATAATAATAAAAAAAAAGTTTTGCCTTTTGGAACTTTCTAGAAATTTTATAGGGGGGACATTTGCAATTTGTGATTGTCGGAATCCATGCGTGTAGAACCTGCAGAGGCTAGCTGGTGAGTGGGTGAATGAATGGGCAAGAAAAGCACTCAGGTAGTGGGCTCAGAATGTGCACAGCCAGAACCAGGCGCGGTGGCGCACACCTATAATCCCAGCGGCTCGGGAGGCTGAGGCAGGAGGATCGAGAGTTCAAAGCCAGCCTCAGAATTTAGCAAGGCACTTACCAACTCAGTGAGACCCTGTCTCTAAGTAAATTTAAAAAAAAGAAAAAGAAAAAGGTCTGGGAGGTGGCTCAGTGGTTAAACATCCCTGGGTTCAATCCCTGGTACCAAACAAACAAACAACAACAAAAAAGACCCCAACGGGCCCAGCCTGGGGGTGGGGTGGGTGCAGGCAGGGGGCTTACCTTCTGTTTGTCGAGGATTTTCATGGCATAGTGATTCCCGGTCTCCTTGTGCTTCACCAGCATCACCCGCCCAAAGGAGCCCGTTCCAAGGGTCTTGATTCTCTCAAACTGATCCAAATGGGCTGTGTTCTGTGGGTAGAAGGGTTGAGCCGGGGGTCAGGGACACTTCTTCCCTGCGGCCTGTTGGACCAGGGTCTGGGGTGTCCCCTGTGCTGCCGGCAGAGGGGGCCCTGGGAGCTGGTGGAGTGAGGGGGGTGAAGACAGGGGGCTGGACAGCAAGATGGTGGCGGGCACATTCCTCCAGGCGGTGGCAGGGGCCAGATCCGGCCCTGGCCTGGGGCCCAGGAGCTGCTGGCAGCTGCGTGGGGGTGGGGGAGCAGGGCTGCCAGTGGAAAGGGTGGGTGGGGTGGGGAGCCTGGGGGGAATCAGGTAGAACCATGGGCATGTGCGGAAGGAGGGGGGCAGGTCTGGAGCCCCCCCCCGGGGTCCTAAACTTCCAAGGATGTGGCAGGGATGGTGGGGGTGGCCGCGGCCCACTCTCGCAGGGCTCTGTACCTGGAAGGGCTTACCTGAGCGGGATTTTCCCATTTTTTAAGAAAATCTTCTTTGGCTTTGGCTAAGAACTCTTTCACTGAAAGGAAGAGAGGGGAGGGTTAGATGGAGACTCCGGCCTGGGGGGGGGGCGGATCGGGTTACCTTTGGGATATGTCCGTTTGTGGAAAGTGAGGTGCACCTTCTTAAAGCCAGAGCCTGACCTTGTCCCAGGACCTCTGAGCACCCGGGTCTGAGCTTGAAGGCAACTTTTGGGGATCCTGAAATGGGCTGGGGCCTGGGTACCCCCTACCACAGAGAAGTGGGAACCTGCTTCCAGTCCATCCAAAATGGGCACAGGGAGACTCAGGGGTTGCACCTAGGGGACAGGGAGAAACGCCAGGGCCAGCTCACCCCTGCCTGCCCCAGTTCTGACCAGCATTCCTTGGCCAGGGACGACGCCAGCCAGCCGAGGTATTTATAGCCTTTGGGTCTGGCTGCTCCTCTGGCCCCTTCTCTGGGGAGGCCGGGCCTGGGGTGGAGGCCTCTGAGGCTCGGGTAGCAGGCGTCCTTGGGGGGCTCAGCTGTCACCTTGGCCCCCAGCTGGCCCTGTACCTGTCTTTGCCAATCGTGGGGCCTTAGTCCAGTGCTGGTTCAGAGGAAGGCTTACTGGATGCCCCCGCAATGGTCCATAGTACCCTGAGGCCAACGTCACATCCGCCCAACAGACACCTCCCTGGTGGACCCCTGCGCCGGCTGTCTTGTCTTACTCTCTCATTCGACTCACTCCACAATCCTTCTTTTATCCATTTTCCCACTTAACGGCCTAGGACACTGAGGCTTGAACTGCTCCCCTAATGACCGAGAGGCAACCCAGCCAAGCGGTTAAGGGCCAGGACTTGTGGATGAGACTGGGTCCAGATGCCTGCCTGGTCCCTGAAGAGCTGTGTGATTTTGGACAACTACTTCACTTCTCTAGGCCTCAGTCTTCCCCATCTGTAAAGTGGGAATAATAAGGGGCTGGGGAGGTGGCTCAGTGGTAGAGCCCTTGCCTGGCACATGTGAGGCACTGGGTCGACCCTCAGCACCACATAAAAATAAATAAACAAATAAGATAAAGGTATTGTGTCCATCTACAACTAAAATTAAAAAAAAAACAATTGGAATAACAAGAGCCATGAGCCCGCAGGATGGCTGTGAAGAGTGGCGACTGCGCAGTGGCCAGCATTGGGGGGCGGTTCATGCCAGGAAAATGTCACCTACAATTTTTTGAAGTATTTTTGAAATGTGGGTAGAAAATACAGGGAGATTCATTGAAAGTTCAAATCTTTTAAAGAAATGATGTCTGCCAGAGGCGGTGTATGCAATTTGGGAGGCTGAGGCAGGAGTATCGCAAGTTCGTGGCCAGCCTCAGAACTCAGCGAAGACCTAAGCAACTCAGCGAGAACCTGTCTCAAAATAAAAAGTCAAAAGGGCTGGGGATGTGGCTTAGTGGTGAAGTGCCTCTGGGCTAAATCCCCCACCCCAACTGGAAAAATAAAGAAATGATGTCTGGCTGTGTTGCCCAGGCTGGTTTCGAACTCTTGGGCTCACGTGATCTTCCTGCCTCATCCTCCCAAATAGCTGGGATTCCAGGCACATTCCACCAGACCTGGCTGAGTGCTCAGATCCCCACTGCACAGCTTGATGGATTCTGACCTTATAGATTCACCCTGGGACCACTGTGCAGGGCCCGGCACTGTTCTCTATGTGCCAGACTTGAACTGAATGTTTTTCTTTCTTTTTTTAAAAAATATTTTAAAATTTTTTGGCATGGGGGATTGACCTCAGGGGTGCTTTACCACTGAGTTACATCCCCAGGGTCTCACTAAGCTGTTGAGGCTGGTCCCAAACCGGTGATCCTCCTGCCTCAGCCTCCCAAGTCGCTAGGATTACAGATATGTGCCACCACACCTGGCTAAGTAGTTTTCTTTTTTTCCTTTTCTTTTTTTGGAACTGGGGATCAAACCCAGGGCTTTGTGAATGGGAGGCTAGTGCTTTTCTGGTGAGCTACACCCCAGCCCTGGCTAAGTGTTTTTGATGCTAAAAATCTGACTTTGCCAGGTCAAAGTTGCTCTTCTTCCCACTGTACAGATGAGAAGATCGATCAGTCCTGAGATCATCTGTCTGACCCACTGCCCATGAGACTATCTGCTTTACTACCAACTCAGACACTGGATTACTGGGTACAGAGGTGTCCTCAACCTAAGGGGCCCTACAGTCCTGCTCTTTGACCTTGCTTGTCATCTGCCTCCTAGCACATGGCCTGCTGAGTAGCCACCATTCCCCACTGTCCCCAAGACTCTCCAACAGTATTCAGAGAGAAAAGCCCTTCATGGGACTAGAAGAATGGTGGCTAGAGTGGAGCCTGCCAGCTAGGAAGACCCTGCAAAAGGCGAGTGGGCCGAGATGGGCGGGCAGTGAATGGCTGTAGCCCCTAGGCTCTGCCTGATGGGGCTACAGACCCAAGAGACCTCTCTGAGCCTGGGGGCTGCACACATCTGGTGCTTTCACCAGCACAACCTTTCAGAGACATCATGCCTTCCCTGGAGACCTCTCAACAACCCACAAAGAATTCTGGATTGGAGGCGGGCAGAGGGTGCTGTATTGGGCCTGCACAAGAGAGAGAAGGGCTGGGCTGGGGTCCTGCTTCCTGCTCCCAGCCATCCCTGGGCTTCCCCAACTCGGTGGCTCTGGCTGCTGCTAGTGTCCTGCTGTGGGGCTCCATGAGCTGCTTGGCCCACCTTCTTTGGCATCCTGAAGCCTGGGAGGGCCTGGGCTGTTTCCTCTCTGTGCCACCGGGCCCTGTTGGCTCGTCAGGCTTGGGGACAGGTATGAGGGGTCAATGCCAGGAGGAGCAGGGAGATAAGAGGGTTCATGGAGCTGGGCCTCAGACAGAAGCCCCCACACTCACCTCTGCTTCCTGTTTTTCCTGGCACAGGATGGCATAGGGGCTGGATGGGATAGGGTGACCTGGGGCCCATCGGGCCTGGTCAGGGAGGCTCAGGGTGCTGGCTGCGGCTTAGGTCCTTGGAAGCTGTGACGCAGGTAGCCCAGGAAACGGAGAACCAGGTGGGCCCAGAGGAGCAGCTGCAGCCACAACTGGAAGGTGATCTCTGAGCCCCCACCCTGGCTGCTGCTGGACCCCAGATCCATCCTAGGCTTCCCTGGTCTCTCCTTGGAATCCTCCCTTTGCTGGGGAACCAGGAAAATGCAGAGCCTCTGAGCTGGCTTCCTTGGGAAGGCCTCAGGGGACCAGGGAGGAGGAGCTGGTTGCCACGGAGGCATTTAAAGGTACCTGCTCCAGGCTGGCCGAGGTCTGCAGAGGCTCTCCTTGGCAGGAGGAGGTGGGAAGATTCTCCCGAGGGTGTCCCTCTGGCCGGCCTGCCTGTCCTGGGGCGGGGTGTTAAAGCTAACTTCCCCTTCTAGGGACTTTCACTGCTCCCAAGATGCCAGGCCCTGCCTCCCCGGGTGGGTACGAGACTGACTGGAAGCAGGCAATCAATGTGCCCAGAGCAGTGCCCACTGGGCAGAGGGGAAGGAGTTAAGGCCCTGGCTTAAGCAACGGGCAGAGACTCCCTGGGGGCTGAAGGAGCCCCGGAGCTTGTTAACTAGCTGGAAGAACAGCTGGAGAGAAAGGTGGAGGGAGGCAGGAGTCACCCTATCTCCTCCCGAGTTCCCTTTCAATGTGAAGCCCCCAAGTCCTGCTACCCCCCAAGAAAGAAATGGGCACATCTGGTTCTTTGTCTTGTTCCTATGTGGGGGCGGAGAGGGGAACAGCGTCCCGGGATGTCCTTGGCCTCTGTCAAACCTTGCCCTGTGCTTGGCTCTGCTCAGGGCCATGAAAGTCCAAACCGGAAATGAATGGCTAAACCCCGGGGTGGGGGAGGGGAAGCAGCCTTGACCATCTTCCCCCTCCTTTCCAGATCCCCAAAGCAGCGGAGGGTCAGTGGCAGGGTCCCTGCGGGTACCCCACACTCTGTTCCCTGCTGGTGACAGGAAGTGGCTTAGGTGGGTAACCTAGCTGGCTGCTGCCTCGCCCACCCCTCCCACACTGGGGGCAGTGGTGGGTGCCACCGCCTCCGCTCTGGTCGGGATTTGCTTTGGACTCACAGAGAAAAACCCAGGTACCCCTTGAAAAGCCAGGGCCACAGCAAGAGGCAGAAATCTAGAAATCTGTCCTGGGTTTGAATCTGTCCTGGGCAGTTACAACAGCAGAACATCAAACTGAGCAAGGGAGCAGGGATCCCGCGGAAGGAGCCCACCTTGGGGCCCTCTCTCCCCAAGACAGTAACCTCCGCCCTTCTCCACTTCGATACCTGGCAGTCCTGGGGTCTCTGGGGCAGGTGCCCAACCTGGGCTGGGAGCCCCAATACAGGCCTAATCCTCCTGGATCCCCTGCTCTGGGCTGTACCACCTTCTACTCTGGACTGGACCTAGCCCCATTCTGAGCTGGACCCTCCATCCTGGACTAGATGATCCCCGAGTCTCTGTTGGACCCCAACATTGAGCTGGACCAATCTTCACCTGAACCGAATCCCAACACTCGGCTGGCTGCCCCACTGTCTCAGTCTGAGTTGGACCCCCACTCTGGGGGGACCATCCCCTCTTCTGAATTGGGCCATTCATACCCCCTGCTCTTCCCCAAGCCCCACAGCCCAAGGAGGTTAGTAAGGGAGGGGTTTCCAGGACAGCCAGGGTCTACACACTGCTTTCCACCTGCGCCCCCAAACCCAACTGCATCCCCTCCTTGACTTGGGGCAGAGCGCTTAGGAAGTTGCTATAGCAACAGACTCAGCCTCACCATCGTTGGAGTTGGAAGCCATCACTCAGTCTTCCTCTCAGGGCACTAGGACTACGGTGGCTGGGAAGGCTCAGGAGACCTGCCTTACCAGCTTGGCTGCCCATCCCTAGAGCCCTGCCTGGAGAGGGAGACAAGGAGTTGGGGGTGGGGATAGGAGCAGGAAGAAACCCAATCTGGAGGCCAGTGGGTACAGGGAAAGGGTAGATAGAACCCTCTGAATTGCTATTGGCCCAATTGGGCTAAAGGCAAAGCTGTCTTGGCAGAACCTCCTTGGCACCCATACAACTGCCAATGCACAAAAGATTTCTGACCCTCTTGAGCCTCTGTAGGATGTTAGAGGGCAACAGTTCTTCCCATCCAGGGACCTCCTGTGTGTATCTTTCTTTCAGTGCCTGGATTCCCTTGTCTCTGGAGGTCTGGGAAGCTTCTCCTTCCCTGTAGGCCAACTCCCAGGGGTGTCTTCCAGCCAGTGTCAGCTCAGACCTGAGCCCCACTTGGCTGTCTGTCCTGGAAGCCTCCTGGGGTTCTGCCCTCTCAATTCCTTCAGCCCTCAGCTTTTCACCCTGGCCCCTGCCAATGACTTCGTCATCTTTGGGTGCAGATTTCCCCCATCCCACTCCACCTGATGCCATTCTACAGCTTTACCCTCTTGTCTTGGCACAGAGATGGCACACAGGGGGCACAGGATGCCTAATTAGTACCTACTAAGGCTGGGCATCTTCCTAACCCAAGCTGGGCTGGCATCTGCCAGATGAAATGCAGGTGCCCTCTGCAGAATGGCTTGGCTACTGCCCCCGCCCCAGCCCCACCCTGGTTATAAGAGGGCAAATTTTGTGTAACTCCATCCTTTCAGAATCAAAGTGTCTTGAAGCAGAGAGGAGCTTGCTTCCTCATTGAGTTCCTTCTCTGGGAGGATACACGGCTTCAGCCTGTTTTCCAAAGCGTGCCATGGTCCCACTGGCAGAACATGAAATTATTTTAGAGATGTTTCATTTATCTAGTTACATTGTTTTTTAATGTGTATCAAAGAGAATGTAACTGGCATAGCAATTCTATGATTTCATTTATATTATTCCCTAGGATAGGACCATAGCTTACCTCTGAGCAGAAATGAGTAAATGTTTTATTTTATTTTATTTGAGATGGGGTCTTGCTATGTTGCCCAGGCTGGTCTGAACTCCTCAACTCAAGTGATTCTCTCACCTCAGTGTCCTTAGTAGCTGGGACTACAGGTGGGTGCCCCTATGCCTGGCTTTTATTATTTTAGATTAAGAAAATATACACAGGGGGGGCTGGGGTTGTGGCTCAGTGGTAGAGCGCTTGCTTCGCACGCATGAGGCCCTGGGTTCGATCCTCAGTACCACATAAAAACAAATAAATAAAAAATAAAGATTAAAAAAAAAGTACATCTTGTTTAAAAAAAGTATATACAGTATGCAAATAGAATAAAAATCTGGGGGTCAGTTTAAGAATGTCAGTTGGCACCTGGGTGTACGGCATATACCTGTAATCCCACAACTCGGAAAGCTGAGGCAGGAGGATCACAAGTTTGAGGCCAACCTTAGCAACTACTAAGTGAAGCCCTAAGCAACTTAGTGAGACCCTATCTCAAAATAAAAAAAAAATTTAAAAAGGGCAGAGGAGGGCTGGGGCTGAGGCTCAGAGATAGAGCATGCGCCTAGCATGCATGAGGCACTGGGTTCGATCCTCAGCACCATACAGAGTAAAATAAAGACATTGTGCCCACCTCTAACTAAAAAATAAATATTTAAAAAAAGGCAGGAACTGCTGGGGGTATAGTTCAGTTGGTAGAGTGCTTGTCTTGCATGCACAAAGCCCTGGGTTCAATCCCCAGCACCACAAAAAAAAGGGGGGCAGGGGATGTTGCTCAGTGGTTAAGCACCCTTGGGATCAATCTCTAGCACCAAAAAAGAAGAGCCAGGCATGGTGGCACATTCCTATAATCCCAGCAACTCAGAAACTGAGGCAGGAGGATAGCAAGTTCAAGGCCAGCCTAGGCAACTTAATGAGACCCTGTCTCATAAAAGACAATTTTTTAAAATTAAAAAACAAATGAGGGGCTGGGGCTGTGGCTCAGCAGTAGCGCATTTGCCTGGCATATGTGAGGCACTGGGTTCGATTCTCAACACCACATATAAATAAATAAAGGTTTATCAACAACTAAAAAAAATATTTTTTAAAAAATGGGAAAATTCTGGGGTCCAGGAAGATTGCTGGTAGATAGATCTGGATGTGAATCCTGTCCCCATGATGTAGTCCACGTCAAACTCAGATGGCTCATTTGGGAAATTCGAATAAGAGCCCACTAGGAAAATTACCAGAGCAGATATGTCTATGGAGCCTCCAGCCTGGCACGTCCTAGCTGCCCCATAGAGTGGCTCTATCTCATTGTGATCATTCACTCCTGAGTGTCTGGCCTGCGTGCTGAGAGAATTAGCAGTTCCTTCCGGAGCCTCTGATCTTTTTCTGGGGATCTTTTCCCCTATGTGGCTCCCTATCCGCCCCCCACCGCATGCATTTGGAATGCCTTGAAGGTCTTCCAGGACTATGTCATCTCCCCAACTTTCAACCCAGCCATTGCAATAGATAGCTGCCTGCGTCTACCTTCCACCTCCCAGCCTGCCTCACCTGCTGGGGGCCTGGCTGTCCCCTCTGCCTAGTCCCCTCCAAGCTCATGCCCAGGCTGTTTTTGGACACTGCCCACCTGCTCCTCTGTCATCAAGCACTCAACTACGGGCATTTGTGCTCCTGTCCCCCGCCCATTGGTAACATACCGGGCCTCTTCAAGGCTCCACCACTCAGAATCCTGCCGTCTGACTGTGTGCAGGCAGAAATTCCCAGGCCTTCGTAGCTTTTTCATATTTTTCGGGGGGGGGGGGGGGGCATTCTGGGACTCCGACACTCAGGTTTGAGACCAAGAACTGGGAAGGGCATAGTTGGATGTGGCTTCCTTTTCAGTTTGGAATATTTCTGGGTGACTGGAAGGGGATTCCCAGCTGAGGCCCACTTTTAGGGCTTCAGTGACAACAATTAAGAGCTGGGGGAAATTGGGGAGGGGGTTCAAGGCCATTTCTGATGGCATTTTCAAACACAGAAATCTTTCTGTCTCTCAAGATGGGAAAGGCCAACATAGCTGAGGTCTAGGGAGTAGGAAAAGCCTCCTCTGAGCCCTGGTCTATAGAGAATCCATTTGTCCCTTGGCAAAGCAAATCACTAGATGTCACTCATTACTCTCCTTGACTACCTCCCCCCCTCCCCAAGTCCTCTTTCTGATCATCCCAGTTCAAGGCGAGTGAGCCTCACCAACCCGACACTTCATTCCCAGTCAGGAGCCAGGAACAGGTGAAGAAGCCCCGGGGACTAGGTGAATGAGGAGCCTCGGTTGTGAAACACCATTTATTGAGAGGCCCACCAAGGAGCATACAGCCCACAGCAGGGTAGGAGATGGGAGGGGGCTATGCGGACACCCCCCACCCCCAATCCAGGAAAGAGGAGCAATGGATCCTAGCAAGAGCAGCTCAAACTTGGCTTTGGAAGCATTGGCGCTCCCAAAAGACATTCTCTAGGTTCATAAACAGTCTGCTACCCCAGCCAGGGACAGACGCTTGCTTGGAGGAGGGAGTACAAGCAGAGTCTAAGTGACAGGATGCAAGAGGGACAGAGGGACCCAGAAAGATCTTGTCCCCCATGCCAAGTGACACAGAAGGGAAAAACAATGCTGGAGGTGGCTCTGGGAAATGCTCAAAGGCGGGGGGGGGGGGGGGGGGGGGGGGGGGCCTAGGGGGGATTGGGGATAAGGTGAAGAGGGGAAGGGCAGGAGAAAGATGGCGGGGGCTGGAAGGGGGAGGGGTGTGGTCATCAAGTGGCCAAGGCCCCTGCGGGGTGGAGGCAGACCCCACAGCACTCCCGCACTGGTAGAGGCCTGGGTAAGGGTCAGGCAGTGGCTCCCATATGTGAGGGAGGTGAGTGAGGAAGTCGGGGGGATTAGAATCTGGGGAGAGGGGTCAGGAAAGGAGGGGGTGGGGTGATGACAGGGACCCATGTGGGGCCCCAGCGGTCATACGTGCCATGGTTGGCAGTGACAGCTGGGTGGGGGGGGCACAGACTTTGCAGTGGGGGGCGGCCGGCCATTGCAAAAGGGCTTCTACGGAGGTGGAGGTAGGGCCCCTATGCAGGCTTTCAGGCCCCAGGCTCGGACAGGCAGGGGGAAGGGGAGCTGGGGGTGAGCAGAGAGGAAAGGGGGGGGCCCGATGGGGGGGAGGGGCCATGCAGTGATGGACAGGGCGCGGGCTGGCATCGCGGGGCCGAAATCAGGGTCACGGCCCGGGCACTCACCGCTCTCCTGCTCGCTGCCCTTCTTGGCGGCGGCGGCGTTGCCCATCGCGGCGGCGGCGGCCGGGGCCGGTCCTGGAGCTGCGGTGTGGCGGGTGCTACAGGCGGCCAGCGGCCCCGGAGCGCGCTGGGCGGCGGAGGCAGCGGCCCCTCGGGCTGGCTGCGCTGGCTGCGGCGCCGCGACCCCCGCCCAGCCCCTGCTTCCCGCGTCTCTCCGCGCGCGCCCGCCCGCCCGGGATCCTCAGTCCAAGTCCGCTGCGTCCGTGACGCCCCCGCAACCCGCCGATCATTGGCCTAGGCCTTTCTGACTGACGGCGCCTCGGCGCTGTCCATTGGCCCTCCGACACCCTCCCGCGCCGCCATAGGCTCCTTGGCCCCGTGACGCGCGCCGAGGACGCCTGGCCATTCACAGGCTCGTGAGGTCTCAGCTGGGCGGGCAGGCGCCCGTGATTTGCCCAGGCGCCGGCCGGGGTCCGGGGCTCGCTCTGAGAGGCCGCGCATTGGCCGAGGCGCGCTGTCAGGCAAGCCCCCGGCAGAACGTTCAGTGTCAATCCCGGGGTGAGAGGGCGGGGCGGAGGCGCAGACTGCGGCCCGGGCTGGCCGGGCGGGGCGGCTGAGGCTGGCGGGCGGCCGCGCCGCGCTCCGAAGCCCGAGAGGCGGCCCCGGCGGGCGCCCGGCAGGCCCCGTGTGCGCCGCAGTCCCCCGCCCCCGCCCAGTGCGGCAGCGGCCGCCTGCCAGCCGAGGTTGACGCCACTGCCCTCCCGGCGCAGCCGCTGTCCACCTGCCAGCGGGGGAGGGGCGCAGCCGGCGCCGCGGGTCATAGGTCGCCCGGCCGCTGACCGTCGTCATTCATAAGGCTTGGCACTGCGCAGCTTGGGGTCCAGGCTGGGGCTCCCTACTAGGATTCCCCTAGCCACTGCGGGAGCTTCGGGGGATGCTGGGCCTCAGGAGTGGAGGCTGTAGGAGGCGCTCAGTGTCCACTCCTTTGCTGGGTCCCAACCCTGGCCTGATGCTAGTAGTTAAGAATCCTCGCTCGTTTAGTACGTGACTTGGCATCACACCTCTACCAGGGATCATCGTGCCCATTTTACAGACGAGGACTCAGAAGATAGCGAGGGTGATTCCCTGCTCTTAATTAATCCCTGTCTGGACAATGCAAAAGGAACCTGCCCTAGAGGAGCAAAGAAAAGACACAGCTCCTCAATATACACATTACCTGAGGACTGTCGGGTTTCTCAGCGGCACAGTAAAGTTCAGCAGTCCCCCCAACTTCCACCCACCAGATGTCAGTAGCACTTCCATCTTCCTTCTAGCCGCCGCAACCCAAACCACCTCCAGACTCTGCTATAAAAGGGGGTGTGTGGCAAAATCATTGACCCCGCCCCCGTGGAGAACCACTTTAGCAGAGGGAGGCTGGAACAGAGGGAGGAACAGGACAAGCTAAGAACAGACCTTTTTTTTTTGACAGGGGCAGGGGGTACCAGGGAACTCAATACAATAATTTTGTATTTTGTTTAGAGACAGGGTTTCACTGAGTTTCTTAGCACCTTGCTTTTGCTGAGGCTGGTTTTGAACTTGGGATCCCTTTGGCTCAGCCTCCCAAGCTGCTGGGATTCTAAGGGTGCCCCCACTGCACCCAGTTAAGCACAGACTTTGAGCCTGGTCTCGCGGACTCAGTGCAGCTGGTCCCAACTACAAGCTGATGCACTGCCCTGCTTAGCATTGCACAACCTGCACTCTACCCAGCACGGACTGCACCCGTGTCCCCAGGTCAACCACTGTCCAGGGAGGGAAAAGTAGGGGCTCTTCTGGGAATTACAGGGCGATGGCTAACCAACCAAACTGCTTCACTTCTGTTACACAGTGAGGCTAAGTAAAAAAATGGGTCTGTGTGTATATCCTTGGATCCCAATGTTGTTCTTTTTGCCAGTCAACATCTAAGTCTGAAAAATCACTGGTTATGACCTATGTACAGAACAGCTGGTTTGCTTAAGTTTTGACAAAGAAAAACCCCTCCTGGACCTTCAGTCTGGGATACAACTCCAAGACTGACATTAGGACACTGAGCAAAGGGAGAAGGGCCAGCCACCCCATAGGACAGAACAAGAGGCCCCATCAGAGCACATAAGGAGGGAAATGAAGCTGCCTCAGCCCACCTGAGTCAAAAGCAGAAGAGGCAGTCTAGATGAAGTGCTTTTTATTTTTAGAGCAACCAAACACTTTTAATATAAAAACCCTTTAATATACAAACTGTAATCACAACAGCATCCACATAGCAGCGAGGGACAGAGACATAGGTCAGGGAGGGAATGTTTTCAGGATGCTGAAGGTTTCTCTTGCCCAAAATCACTCTATGGCTTATGAAAGCATGAGTCTTAGCAGAGAGAAGACCAAGGCAACCAGGGGCGAAGGTCTACAGAGCAACCCTGCGCCAGACAGCAAGCCCTCCAATGCACACATCCTCCTAGGGCAGCCTCCAAGACAAGCCAGACAAGTTAGGAGATGACAGGAAGGTGGCTGTGATTTAGAGAGAGACCCATTGTTCCTCAGCATCCTGATGATCACACCGGTGGGAAACGAGTTTTCTAGGGGCTGCTGGGTTTTAAAGACTAAAAATACTCCCAGGAGAAGGACAGAAATTGTTATCTGAATCCCCTAACCAGGATTCCTTGCCTGTGACACCAGAAAGCTGATCTGCTCAGATGTTGGAGAGGGAAAGAAATGACAGCACCCTTAGCCCAACAGGGCCACAGCCTTGCCAGGGATTGACCGAGAGCCTCAAGGCAGGAAGAGCTTTGGATCAAAAGCACTCATGGGAGCTAGTGGCACAATGGCCTGCAGGTGGAATTTATAGTGTGTGTGGAAGAGGAAAAACACGAGTCAGTAAGAATGAACAACGAAGTACCTGCTTCTTACAGGCCTGTGCGGTGGAGGTGAGATGATCCTTCTGGGCAGAGGCTGGAAAGACCTGATGCCCATTCTTTCTTTGGAGCCAAGTTTGACAGGCCTGGATGCAGTGGTTGGCTCCAAAGTCCTTGAGATGACCCCACACGACACTCTGGGAGGCCTGGGGGCCCCCTCCAGGTATGCCAGGTGACTGGCTGTGGTCCTGGCTGAGTGCAGCCAGGGCCTGGCTTCCCACAGTTAGATGCAGTCCATGGAGTTCTCAGGGAGAAGGCCAGGGATACAGCCAGGGAGGCCGAGGCCTTTGACAGGGGTGCAGCTGAGGGGAAGACCACAGCTCAGAACAGGGTCCTGGTTCTCTATGGTCTCCAGCCTGTCTGCATTGTTGTCCCAGTTGATGTGGAAACGAGTCACCCGGGGGTTCGAGGCCAAGATATTCCGCTGGAGCTGGGGCAGGAAGAAGAATGTCAATCCTTCTCATCATGCCCCCTCATTCCTCCCACAGAGCCAGGACACCCTCTAAACTTCTGCCTTGAGCCCAGAAGAAGCGGACTTTACTTCTTCCATCCCCTCCAGTGACCCTGTGTCAAACTCCAGGGACTACCTGCACACCAGTGCTTAGGTGTGGGACCCATCTGGTCCTAATTCTGTAGGGCATGCCTCTGAGCTGCAAAGACCTTTCTCTCTCCCCCAACTCAGCACTGCAGAACAAAGCACAAAGACTTAAGTGAACTTTGGCTCCCAATTCTAATGACTCAACTCCCCTCCAGTGCAAGGGAACTGGTGTGCTTGCAGCAAGAAGTGTGGAGGCCCCACCTGAGAAAAGTCTGGCTTCAGGGGTGGGTTTTCCCGCAGCTCTGGGTTGAGGTACTCATTGTTGACGTAGTAGCCCACACGGATGAACTCCTGTCCGTGGTAGGTGCAGGTGATGAGGACAACAGTAACGCCCACAGCATCAGTCTCAGGGATGAGGGAGGGGTTGGGGGCATCAGCCTGAGGGAGACATTCTGTGTCTTAGCACTTCCATAGTCATAATAGGAAGATTCCTAAGTGACCTATATTTATTTTATTTGTGGTGATAGGGACTAAACCCAGGGACTCATGCAGGTTAGGCACTCTGTCACTGAGTTATATACCCAACCCTCAAGTGACCTGTATTTACTGAGCAGAAAAGTAAGCGCTCTGCCCTTAGGGGCTTTCACTAGAATGGGATTAGACAGAACTGATCATAGAAATGACAATGAATTGATGACTCTGGAATAGGGATGTAGCTCAGTGGTAGAGCACTTGCTCGCCTGCATGAGGACCTGGTTTCCATCCCCAGCACTGCAAAAATAAACCAATTTAAATAACAGTGACTGTGATAGGGAGAGAAAGGAGTGCCCAGAAGGAGAGTGATGAGCCAGGGGAGAGTGGCAGGAGGAGATCAGAAGACACCAGGCCACCCAGTGCCTGCAGGACCAACTGGGAGCCTAGAAAAGAGCACTGTTCAGCAAGAGGTAAGGGCGACATCACTACACTGGGTTTGAACAGAAGACTGGTGGTGTGGGATGTGGAATAGGTAGAGGGCTGTACTAGAAGCAGGGAGGCCAGGCTGGAGTCATCCTGAGAGAGAAAGGCAGCAGGCTTAGACCCAGCTATGGAGAAGGATAGGAGCACACAGATTCAGGGTATGCTGCTGTGGACAGGACGGGCTATACCTGGTGCAAAGGAAAAAACAGGGGCCCCTTACACAAAAACTATTCAAGTTTCAGATGGGGACAGAACATTACAAGCATGGGTCCCTGTGCAACTGCCCAGGACACATGCCCAGGAAGCTGGCCCTGGTTTGGGGTAGAACAGATGAGTTTGTTGGTTGATTTAGTAGAGGTGTATGAGAGGGTTAAGGGATGTGGCAGTTTGGATTAGGGGGTAATAGCTGAAAGGGAGGTAAGTGAATGGATTCTCAAACGTTAGTGTTCCTAAGAATCATATGGAGAGCTTAGAATCTGCATGGCTGACAAGTTAGATGATGCTGTATCAGAGGGCTACTTGGGAGTTACCATTCATCCTCATATTCACAGACTCTGTATTTGCTAATTTGCCTACTTGTTAAGTTATTTGTAACCCCAAAACCAACATTTGTGGTGCTTTCACAGTCATTTGCAGACACACACAGAACAGGGAAAAACTGGAGTCACCCAATGTCCATGTTCCAACCTGAGGCCAAATGAGATAACACTCTTGCTTTCTTGTTTTAGTTCTCTTACTGAGAATGAGGGCCCTTATTTTACAGTAGATTGAACTTCATGCATGCTAGGCAGGCATTCTACCACTGAGTTATATCCCCAGCCCTATGGAAGCCCTTTTGGTGCCATGTTT